CTTTATCTCTATCTCATCGCAACACAAGCCTTTTGTTATCTCTTCTCCCACATTAACCCGAGCGGCGCAATTAAGCGATGTTGCATGATCTACGTCGCTACATTTGCATCTAATAGTGCAATTAAACAACGATGGGAGTAAATTGCAAGCGCAGGAAACACTATTATCGCACTTGCACAACCCGAACACACGCACGAACACAACTGCGCACACGTAATATCAGTCTGGAGACACGTACATACATATATACATGCAAACACACACACGCACGCATACGCAAACACACACAAAAAAAAAAATCTAAGGCGTCACGGTACACTTTCACCATTAAGTGTATCGATCCAAACAGGCAATTTAACGTAACGTAATTCCTAAAGCGCAAATCAACAATAACAATCTCGGTCGTGATAAAGAAGAAAGCAAATACGTAATTAGATAAATAAATTCATAGATAAATATGTATATAGAGAAGTAAATCAAACCAATAAATATCAATAAATAAACAAATTAACGAATTAATTGATAAACAAACAAATAAATTCTATAAAAATCTAACAAAGCTCTAGAGAGAGAGAGAGAGAGAGAGAGAGAGAGAGAGAGAGAGAGAGAGAGAGAGAGAGAGAGAGAGAGAGAGAGAGAGAGAGAGAGAATGAGAGAGAGAGAGAGAGAGAGAGAGAGAGAGAGAGAGAGAGAGAGAGAGAGAGAGAGAGAGAGAGAGAGAGAGAGAGAGAGAGAGAGAGAGAGAGAGCGAGAGCATCATGGTGGGCGGGAGGAAAAAGAAAAAAAAAACATCAAAGAACGAGACGCGAGACATTTGATTTTTTTTTTATCTTGCAATCCGAGGAAGCTAATTTTAGACTTCCAGAATCCGGTCTAAATCGACTGGCGCGTCTGTGTGTAATAAGGGAAACGGGGTGAGGGAGAGGGAGAGGGAGAATGGGAGGGGGAGGGGGAGGGATAGGGAAGGGGAGAAAGAGGGGGAAAAGCAAAGAGAGTGGGAGGGGGAGGGAAGGGGGAAAATTAAACGGAGGTGTAGGGGGGAAGGGAAAGGGAGAGGAAGGGGAAGGGAGAAAGAGAGAAAAAAAGGAGGAGGAAAACAGAGGGGGGGAAAGGAGAGGGGAGAGGAAAAATGGCGGAACGGAAAAGGGAGAGATAAGCAGAAAGGAAAGAGGGAGAGAACAGAGAAAGGGGACAGGGAGAAGAGAAGTGCGAAAGTGGGGAGAAGAGAAATTGGCAGGAGAGGAAGAAACAGGAAGAAGAGGAAGACAGAGACAGAATAAGGAGATAGAGGAAAGGGTGAAGGGAAGTGTGACTGGGAGAAGGGAGAGGATTTGAGGGAAGAGGAATAAGAAGAACTGAGAGGTGAAGACGAAGTGGGAAAGAGGGTGGAGGGAAGGAGTGGGGGAAGAGGGAAAGGGAGAAGGAGGAAAGAAGGGGGGAGGGGCAGGGGGTACGGGGAAAAGCGCTTTATGTAACACTGACGTCAAGAAGCGGTGTAAGTCTCCCCTCTCTGAAGTCTCCGGTGACGTAAGCCAGTCATTTCTGTTCGCTATTTAAATATGACCTAATTGCATCCCTCCCTCCTCCCACCTCCCCCAGATTTGAATACGCTCACAACAACATGCATCAGTTTAACATATAATCATATATATATATATATATATTTATATATATATATATATATATATATATATATATATATATATATATATATATATATATATATATATATACATTATATTTATATATTTATATATATATATATATATATATATTCTCTCTCTCTCTCTCTCTCTCTCTACCTCTCTCTCTACCTCTCTCTCTACCTCCCTCTCTCCCTCCCTCTCTCCCTCCCTCTCTCCCTCCTTCTCTCCCTCCCTCTCTCCCTCCCTCTCTCCCTCTCTCCTTCCCTCCCTCTCTTTCTCTTCCACTCTCTCGCTCTTTGTATCTCTCCATCAAACAAACAGAGAAATGGACAAACACATACATAAATCACCCACCAGCACACCGGGGCCGAAAAGCGCAAGACCTCAGCGCCGCGAGCCGGATGGCCCCGTCATGCATGCGCTTCTCATCAGCGGCCATTCAGCGGACGGACGGGCGCTCGTTGGCATGGCGGCGATACCCAGGGCCTCGGGGTCTTTCTCTCGCGCTCTCTCTCGTTCTCGTTCTCGTTCTTTGTTCTTTGTTTTTTTTTTTGTTTTTTGTTCTCGTTCGGTTGTTCTCGATCTTTCGATCTCGTTCTCGATCTCTTATCTCGATCTCTTATCTCGTTCTCTCTTGTTCTCTCTCGTTCTCTCTCGTTCTCTCTCTCTCTCTCTCTCTCTCTCTCTCTCTCTCTCTCTCTCTCTCTCTCTCTCTCTCTCTCTCCCTCGCCCTCGAAGAACAAGAAACAAGAGAGAAACCAAAGTCAAGAGAAGCAAAGAATATCGAAAAATACTGATATGAGGGAGACTGAACAGAGAGAGCCAGGAACAGAAAAGAAACGCTCTCCCCCTCCCCCCTCCCCCCGTCTGTCACCACAGCACGAGCGAGCGACGCCTTTCAAGGGGGAGCGGCGCTATTCACCGAGGAGGAGGAGGAGGAGGAAGAGGAGGAGGAGGAGGAGGAAGAAGAAGAAGAAGATAAGGGAAGAGGAGGGGTGAGGAAGAGGAAGGGGAGGTGGAGGAAGAGGAGGGGGAGAGGGGAAGGAGGGGGGGAGGTGGAGGTGGAGGAGGAGGAAGAGGAAGAGGAGGAGGAGGAGGAGGGGAGAAAGAGGAAGGGGAGGTGGAGGAGGATGACAATAGGAAAAGGAAAGGGAATATGAGGAAAACAAGATCAAGCAATTAAGATGAGGAAGTGGAAACAGAAAAGAAGAAAAAGAAGAACTGCGGACGAGAAACTAAAAAAGAAGGAAACAAAAAAAGATAATTAGGAAAAAGGAAGAAAAATACGAAAACGAATAAAAAGAAGAACTGAGGAAGAGGAATAAAAAAAATAAGGAAACAAAAAAAGAAGAATTAGGAAAAAGGAAGAAAAATACGAAAACGAAGAAAATGAGGAAGTGGAAGAGAAGGAGGAAGAAGAAGAAGAAGAAGAAGGGCATCCGGCATAGGAGACTTTGGTACCTGTTCCCCCTGAGGTAAAATCTGTCGTTTCCTCAAATCGAAATAAAACTAATACGATTTTTGTTATGAGGAAAGTGATTCTCTGTCGAACGGAAAATGATGATGATAATGATAATGATAATAATGATAATGATTATAATAATGATAACGATGATAATACTAATAATAATAACAAAATAATAATAAAAACACGCAATACAATGAAACATAACAACAACAATTCACACTTGAAACTCGATAAGAGCAATAAACATCAGACGCCAGAGACAAAACCGCAAAAAAAAGAAAAAAAAAAAGAAAAAAAAATGTTATCAGAACCAATACTATAACAAAAGAAGACTCCGCCATAGTTGCTGGCCCACGAGATAAAAGCTAAGATAAGGAACCGATAGGAAGTTTCAGTTTGAGAGGAAGAAGGAGATAAAAGAGAGGAGGATAAAAAAAAAAAAGGTGGAGAAAGTTATAGAAAGTGATAATGGGAGTAAAAGGAGAGATAGAGGTGAATGGAGATGGAGAAAGTGATAAAGTGGTAATGGGGATAAAGTAATAATGAGAAATATATAAATAATAAAACGAACAAGAATTGAGAAAGAGATGACGTTTGAGCCGATTGTTGCAGCGAAGGAAGCGGGAGACGGAAAGGAAGGACAAAGAAAGGAAGACGTGAAGGGAAGGCGAGGAACAGAGAGAGGAAGAGACAATGGTAGAAGGAGAAGAGAGACATATGGATAGGTAGATAGGTAAAGAGAGAAGATAGAACAAAAAAAAACTAATCAGGAGCATATCCCAAAAGTCCACGTAAGACAGATTGTTCCTACCCCCCATATATACATATATACATATATATGTGTATATATGTGTATATATATGTGTATATATGTGTATATATATATGTGTGTATATATATATATATGTGTGTATATATATATATGTGTGTGTATATATATGTGTATGTATATGTATATGTATATGTATGTATATATGTATATATACATGTGTGTGTATATATATATATATATATATATATATATATATATATATATATATATATATATATATATATATATTTTTTTTTTTTTTTTTTTTTTTTTTTTTTTTTTTTTTTTTTTTTTTTTTTTCTACAGCCATTCATTCCACTGCAGGACATAGGCCTCTCTCAGTTAACTACTGAGAGGTTATATGGCAGTGCCACCGTTGCCTGATTGGATGCCTTTCCTAATCAACCACTGACACATGTGCCACGGCGGTGATTTCCCCTACGACACCTGCGTTTGACTTCTCAAGCCGATATGTCGCTTTCTCGGGCTCGAGCAAGCAGTCAGAGCTCAGGCAGTTTTACGACCGCCGCGACGGGGAATTGAACTCGAGACCACGAGGGTCGGTGTCCAGTGCTCTAACCACTAGGCTATCGCGGCAGTCATTTTTTTTTTTTTCAACAGCCATTCATTCCACTGCAGGACATAGGCCTCTCTCAATTCAGCATTGAGAGGTTATATGGCGGTGTCACCCTTGCCTGATTGAATGCCCTTCCTGATCAACCGCGGTTCGGCGCGTTAACGCTTGTGCCACGGCGGTGACTTCCCCTACGACACCTGCGTTTGACTTCTCAAGCCGATATGTCGTTTTCTCGGGCTCGAGTCACCAGTCAGAGCGTAGGCATTTTTTACAACTGCCGCGACGGGGAATTGAACCCGAGACCATGAGGGTCGGAGTCCAGTGCTCTAACCACTGAGCTATCGCGGCAGTATATATATATATATATATATATATATATATATATATATATATATATATATATATATATATATATATATATATATATATACGTGTGTGTGTGTGTGTGTATAGATAGATAGATAGATAGATAAAATCACACAAAATAGCAGTACTCACTGGTGGTGTTGCCGGCCATCTCAATGATGCATTTGCACTCGCGTGAGATCTCGCGGTTGTTGAAGGGCCGCACCCTCACTGCCACTTTAACCGACGACATCTTGGCTCTGCAACATATGGAAAAAATGCACATTAAAATCAACTATAAAATCAAAAGAGAAACTTGTACATATATTCACCTATCCTGCACGGTTTATTGCAAAGGGGGAAGTGTGCAACAAAAGAAAAAGATGAATATTAAAATCAACAGACAGATCGAGAGGATACTGTTGTTTGTATCCATCTGTCTTGCAGGGCATATTGCAAAGGGAAAAACATGAAACGGGGAAAAAAATACGAAAATCCAAACGGAGATAGATTTAGTTTTTTTTCGTGATCTGCTCTTGAAACGTGGCATGAGAAAGCTTTGCAACAAATTCAGCGCCTGCAACGAACAATGCAACGGAGCAGGTAAAGCCGTCAAACACGCGGTTCGATACTGTGAATATTCGCTATACTCGCAATACTCGTGGCATTTACAACAATCAATTGCAATTCATGAACGCTTCATGACGGTCATCCCGACACTACGGCGCCATGAGCAAGAAGGGGAGGGAGGGGAGGGGGGGAGGGGGGAGGAGGGGGAGGAGGAGGAGGAAGAGGAGGGGAGAAGGGGAGGGGGAAGAGGAGGAGGAGGAAGAGGAGGAGGAGGAAGAGTAGGAGGAGGAGAAGAGGCAGGGAGGGAGAGAAGGAGGAGGAAGATGGTAAAAGAAGGAGGAAGAGACACGAAAAAGAAAGAGAAAAAAAAGCGAAGGGGAAAGATAAAGAAAAGGAGAAAAGTGGAAGAGTGTGCCACGGGAAGAGGAAGGGGAGAGGGTAGAAAAGGGGGAGGAGAACGAGAAAGGAGGCAGAGAGAGTGCAAAGGGGAAGGGGGAGGAGAAGCAGAAGGGGAGGGGGAAGGGATAATGGGGAAGGGAGGGGGTGGTGGTATTGCAGCGTCGTGTCACCTTCCGAGGAAAATTCGACAGAGTCACATGCGATCAGCGACTGTCATGAAAAGCTGTCATGAAGTGTGCATGAGGATCGACCGCTCTCGAGATGACTGCATGAACGGGCGTTGGCTAAAGGCATAAAATATAGATATAATACAAAAATATCATGATAATGGTAACAGTGATAATGATAATATTAACAATAGTGATATTAATAATAAAAATTATGAAGATGATGATGATATATAATATCAATAATATAAAAACATATAAAATATAAACAAACATAGACTAAAAATATAAAACTTTCTTATTTCCTCCACAATCAAATATTGACAAGCAAGAAGTGCTTTTGCTTACATGATATTGCCAATTTCATCAATATAGCTCGTAAATATGTCACTGAGTTAGTGACATTAAGAGAGTGAATGGATGAATGTGTGTGTGTGTGTGTGTGTGTGTGTGTGTGTGTGTGTGTGTGTGTGTGTGTGTGTGTGTGTGTGTGTGTGTGTGTGTGTGTGTGTGTGTGTGTGTGTGTGTGTGATTCAGTGAATTTAAGTGAGTGAGTTTGAGTGAGTGAGTGAGTGAGTGAGTGAGTGAGTTTGAGTGAGTGAGTTTAAACGAGTGAGTGAGTAAGTTTGAAGAGTGAGTGAGGGAGTGAGTTTAAGCAAGTGAATGACCAAGCAACCGAGCGAATGGCAGAGTGAATGTGCGTGTCCGTGTACGTGCGTGTGTCCGTCAGCACGATCGAACAAACGTCACTCAGCCAAAACCAACATTCATCGATTCTTCACTTAAGAACAGGGAAGCAGAGACACGTGTTATTCTTAATCAATATCACGATATCTCATCTCCCGGCCGCGTCTTAGAAGAGATGATTAAAATACAGCATCCATCCAACAAACAGCAATTTCGGAAGTAAGAGGAAGCAACGAAATGAGAGGAGAATATTTTTTTTCTCCTTTTAAGCGAAACTCATCTCAAGCGGCGGATCGTCTAAAAGAAAAGAAAAAAAATGTACGTCGTATCATCATCATCGTTATTGCTTTTTTTTTATTTTTTTTTCCCCGTCAGTGTCTTTCATCTGACAGCCTGGCAATATCAGATCATATCATTATCATATCATCAACATCATGACTACCATCGTTAACGTCTTCTGCCCCTCTCTGTAAGCATCCTTGATCAGGCAATCTGGCTCCATATGTTTCCTAATAACATCACTGTTATCGTCATCACTTGACACTGAAACCTTGCTTCATCGTATCAAAGCATCATCACCACCACCGCCACCATCAACCCCTCCCCTTCCCCCCACCAACACCATCATTCCCGTTCCTCCACCACCATCACCATCACTCCCCCTTCCTCCACCATCACCATCACTCCCCCTCCCCCACCACCATCACCATCACTCCCGCTCCTCCACCACCATCACCATCACTCCCGCTCCTCCACCACCATCACCATCACTCCCCCTCCCCCAGTACCACCATCACCATCACTCCCCCTCCCCCACTACCACCATCACCAACACAACCAAAAAAGAAAGAAAATCCCCCTCCCCCCACCCGCAAGCATCCTACCTCTGGCAACCTGGCACCATAATAACACATTAAAGGTGTAATTCCAACCGCTGGCTCTCTCCTCTGCCTTTGGGTGGCACTCGCGCCCGATATCGAGGGTCCCCACAGGCACTGCTGGCACTGCGGAGACTGTTTGGCATTTACAGTGCCAGTTATCGCTCTTTTGGGGCATAATCGTTGGCACTTTGGGTATGAGTTATTTGAAAGATAATTAATTTAAAATATTTTTTTTTGTGTATGTTTGATTCGATTGATTTTCTCTCTGAATGAAGCAAAAGCGGCATTTTGACTGAACCCATGTCTTATCTTATTGCAACTGAGGTGAAGATATTTTGTTTGTTTGTTTGTTTGTTTCTGTATTTACGCGCACCAATGCAAATCGCCCCCCCCCCCCTCTCTCTCTCTCTCTCTCTCTCTCTCTCTCTCTCTCTCTCTCTTTCTCAACCTCATCTTCACCTATTTCCACGTACTAGTCTTTCCAACACCCACAATATCCTATCCACTCACTACACGGCAGCCCACACAACCACCCACCCACATAACACAACACCCACAACCACCCACCCACACCCGTTCAGCACGCATACAAGCCTCTGGGTTCTTATCAACATTTCCAATTAACTGTTAAGTTTGAGGCAACTGTTTCAAGTTACGAAACATTATGAAGAAGTTATCGGGACTGCAGGGTCCTCATATTCGAAGAAAGGGAAAAATGGCGAAAGATAAAGAAAGAGAGAGAAGGAGGAAGGGAAAGAGAAAGGGAGGGAGGGGGGGGAGAGGGAGAGGGAGAGGGAGAGGGAGAGGGAGAGGGAGAGAGAGAGAGAGGGAGGGGGAGAGAGAGAGAGAGAGAGAGAGAGAGAGAGAGAGAGAGAGAGAGAGAGAGAGAGAGAGAGAGAGAGAGAGAGAGAGAGAGAGAGAGAGAGAGAGAGAATGAAAAATCAGAAATCTAAATCAAGAAATAAGTGTGAGAGAAATTGACAGAAAAAAGCGAAACAAAACAAGAAAGAGCAAAATCCACAGAGGAGGGAAGGGGAACGGGGAAGGGCGGAGGGGGGGAGGGAGATGGGGGATTACAAGAGCCAAAGCTATAGGGATTAGCGAGGCTCGCCCGGGATTACTTCCGGAAGTTATAGAAGGATTAAATGTTTCTTAGCGGGATCTTAAGAATGGCCTCTGAACGTGGGAACCTATAATGCAGTTAATACCCTTAAAAATAACACAAGGAATATCCCTAAGAAAGAACAAAATGCAGACGTTGGCAAATACGCTGTACGTTTACCAAGTGTGTGATGCGTATTAATATATATATATAAATAAATAAATATATATATAATGTTATGTAATACAGATAGGACTATAATTATAACTATTACTATTTATCAATGACTATAAATAAATGCATGTTGGTGTATGTTGTATGCGTGGTGTATTTAACTAATTATAATGTATATATTATAAGAGTAGGTATATGTGCTTGTATAATAATAGTATGATTTATATATGTGTGCACATATATGAATCAATATGAATATGTATGCCTAATATATCACACATTCGTTTAAAGAAATATTCATATGTGTAAGTGTGTGCAGCACAAATATATAAAATCGAATTAAAGTATTACTAAATCAAGTCTATAATACCAACTCCAGCAATAAATTAATTACGAAGACATATACTAATAATGCAAGACCAAAACAAAGAAAACTTACAAAACAGACCGAATAAATGAGACGGATGAGAGAGAGAGAGAGAGAGAGAGAGAGAGAGAGAGAGAGAGAGAGAGAGAGAGAGAGAGAGAGAGAGAGAGAGAGAGAGAGGAGAAAGGGAGGAGAGAGGGAGGAGAGAGGGAGGAGAGAGGGAGGAGAGAGGGAGGAGAGAGGGAGGAGAGAGGGAGAGAGGGAGAGAGGGAGGAGAGAGGGAGAGAGGGAGGAGAGAGATCAAACGAACGAAAGAGAGCAAGAAAGCAGTCAAAGCGAAGATCTGGCCGCCCTTCACCACCCTAGTCTTTCACGCCCACTTCCCAGGAGTTTCTCGAAGCTTCCTAGGCCGTGATGGGCGGCATGTTTGCTCGCCTCTTCCCTGGATTTGCTCTGATCTGTTTTGCGCATTGCGATTTTCTTTTTCTTTTTCTTTTCTTAGCTCTTGCTATTCTCTCTCTCTCTGTATATATATTTATTTTAATTCTTACTTGTGTTGATTATTGTTTTTTTTACTGTCTTTCTTTATTCGTTCTTCTATCATTTTTGTTCGTTATTCATTTGTTTATCCATGATTTCATTCGTTATTTCTCTTACGAAAGAGTTTTTCATTTTCTCGATCTGCTCTTCCTTCTATTTCGCTTCACTTTCTTTTTTCCTTCTCTCAAATGTCTTTCTTTTTCTTGCAAGACTGAGTGTGCGATGGAATTGAAGATTCGTTAATAGTTGCGACAAATTATCCTCACATACTAATCCCTTTCGCTTCCTTTGTTCCGAATGGTTTTACTTCGTTATCAGAATTATCGATATTTAACACAATTTCCATATCTCGATATTTATTTTTTCTTTGTCC